CTGGGAATGCGTCCGGCGACTAAACACCTTCGCTTACTTTACAGATTTTTTTTTAAAAAAAGTGTTTTCATTTCTATATTTTTTATGTTTTTTTTTATTTTATTCCTTTAAATAGTCTAGTTATTTTTTTGTTTTTGGATACTTTTTGATATTAATGTATACGATTTATGATAGAATATCTATACATATATATACATCTCTTTGTATATATATATATGTCTTTGTATTACATTCTCTGATATTTATGTATATTTTTCATTAATTTTTTTTTATAATTCTGTTTATTTTGATACTTTGTTTACTTTAAAACTCATGTTTTCTTCCATTCAATGTATATGTCTGCTTTATGCATGTATTTAGGAAATTAATTAGCGAATCTTGATACAAAATTATTTCAATTAGTACCTATCTCTTGTTGGTTAAACACTTTTCTTTTTCTAGTTGTTCAGGTATTAACATATATTCTATTTTTTAAGGGTAAGAAAAAGATAAAATGTAGAAAGGTTTTTTGTTTTCTATTTGTGTTGCATAAAATTAATTATTTACAAAATATGAGTAATGGTATGGGTCATAGGGTGTCAAGCCGTACTTATGTTTCAATCTTAATATAAAAAATTTTCATCGGACTGACCTTGATAATTTAGATATCAATCTCTTTAGGCTAATTTAGGTAGTACTATCGTGCTGGCAAAGGATGTTATCCTTTTCTATATAAATGTCAAATAATCTTTAAAGCTACCTTGAGATACTTTACTTACCATCCAAAGAACAATAGTGATATAATAATGTTCTACTTATTAGAGCCTATTAATAGCATTAACTTATATTTTTAGGAATAATGAAGTTTTCAAAAATTTCAGCATTAAACCAATCAAATATTATGGATCATTTTTTTATCCACTATGTGTTAGATACCTTATATCACATTTTTTCCTTTAAAAAATCATCAAATAGAACATTTTCATGGGTAAAAGGTCTCGAAAACATGTGTGGTACGACTAGGAAATTATTACTTTTCTCTAGTAAACATTTTTAATTAAATTTACAATGCTTTTTATAGCATTTGTGAGAAAACATCGAAAAAATGAATTGACACATTTTTTTGTCCCCACGTTGCTACCTGTCTGGTAGGTTCTGATTAATTATTTAAAATGTATTACCTGAATTTTTTACACAAAGAATAATAAAGCATTATTCTGATGATCACGTCACAATATTAAAATGTTAACTAATTTTATTTCTAAAATGAACTGCGAAGCAGTAGTGAAATGATATGGATGTGTACGATGCGAGCTGAATATTTTTATTCTAGTCCAAAAAAAAACTGGAGATATTATAAAAAGAATCTCAAAATTATCTCCATAAGATGAGCATAAAATTAAATAAAATTTAGTTTAATCTAAAGATAAAAAGAAAACAAGGATTTTAAGCCCTTCATACCATCTTCAAGAAGTTTTTCGGGGGGGGGTGCTGTCGGCGGAAGCCTTCATTCTTTCGATTCGAGCCTCAAAATAATGAAACATTCATTAAATCCTCATTCATCATAATAACTTAAATAAAGAATTACGCTGTGATAATAATAATAAACAGCCTACCCCGTCACTGCACTCCAACACCCGGCCGCTATTAGAGCGTACAATTTAAAGCAAATACCAACGGCAATGTCAAAGCAATAATAACCAGACGCTCCAAGCACCAAAGACCTTCTTACTAAATTTTCTGAAACTTGATTGGGTTAAAACATTCCTTCTAAAAATAACGGCACGCTCCCTCCCCCCCCTTTTTATTTACTCGAGAAAATGGGGTGAGAATATCCTGAAATGATTCGAGCATTGAAAATGAGCCCCTGAGTGAACAACACAATCAAAAAAAAATATGAAACAGAACCTAGGAACCAGCATTTTTTACAAATTACCGCATTTTTACACAAAAAATTCATAAGACTCCAGAATTCCGGCATAAATATTCAGGTTCACGATATGAGGGATCCAAATAGCACAAACGAATTCATCGAAGGGGGGACCTTTTCCGAGTCCTAAAGCTTTAGGGGAAAAAAAATTACGACGGGCGGGGATTGAACCCGCGATCTCTCGCGTGTGAGGCGAATGTCCTAACCACTAGACGACCATCGCGCAATCAGCGACGTAGAAGTATAATACAAATAAATAAATTTAATCACAATAAGAGACTTCGAGGGGGTCCGATATAGTATAATGGTTAGAACACCTGGCTTTCACCCAGGAAATCCGGGTTCGATCCCCGGTATCGGAGTTTTTTCCTGCTACCTGGAGATGAATTTTTCGTTTTGGAATTATTCCAACATTCTTATTCGACGTACTTATCTACAGGTTCAACTCCAAATATCCTCTGCAGGAATTCAAGAAGTGCTTTACTATGTAGGAATTTCAATTATGGTTCTGCTATCATCTTATCAAACTTGGCACGGTTTTCGGACACAGTCGATGCCTGACATTCAAAAAGAAGGTGATATAATGTCTCCTCTGCACTTATGTTAGTAGGAAGGAGCGAAGAGTGTTCTGATGCAGGGAAGGGCAAGCGGCGTATGATCTGACGTTGGCGAGGAGCGGTCGAGGCGGGGTTTAACGGGCAGTGTCGGTGATGCTACGCTCTACTTTTGTGCTATTCGAGGGGGGCATTGCAGTATTCACAAGAACACTTTGGGGATGGAACGGGGATGGGCGAGTGTCTTTTCTTGTGGTGAGTCACGAGGGTGGTGTAACCTCTAAAAACTCCCTGACAAGAGGCGCACACCAATTCGGTA